TCCCGGGTCAGGCAAAGTATTACTGGGCTTTTTCAAAAAATCTCAGTAGCAGCACGGAGTATGAAATTGTGCCCGGTATATGGCAATAGGCTCACCCCCTATTACATGGGACTCATAACATAAATAGTGAAAAGTGGGTGTTACATTGTACAGTGGCGTTATGTGCCGTAATGTACACCTCTGCCTACCCCTTCGAGGATAAAGGGCGTGATGTTATGTAATAGGGGAATTTAAAGAGCTACCCAACCAGACATTTTTAAGAATAATTATAATATTGTAACCAATAGTTTTTATTGTTGATAACACTGACTGAAAATGTGGGTTTTGCCCTAATACAAAAATAAATATTTTCCATTTTTAAGTTACACAAATATTTTTATTCGCCATTGTTTAGTTTTAAAATATTTTGTATGATAAATATTTACTTTAAAACATTAATTGCTTTGTTTTAATTGGTCATTAATTTTTAAACGCGTTGCTACCCGGATTCGTAATTGGTTTGACTGACATTTTGACATGAAGCTGTCATAAAATAATGCAACAGACAGTAGACAAACAGACAGACAGTAGTTAAATATTTTGTACGTTTTACTTTGTATTTTATTCTATACTTAACTATATGCATTGTATTGGATATTCTAAAATTATTCAGATTTTTTTTTAATGTTGCCCGACACTAGGATTTTTCCTGTGTCGTTTACAAACTTACAAGTTCATATACACATGACACCAAGACCCGGAACAACAATGATGATGATGGATCATACAAAGAGCTATTCCGTGCGGGAATCGAACCCGCGACACGTTGCGCGGTAGCCAGTCACGCCATATTAGAAAAGAGATATGAATATTTATTTATAGGAAAGTAATCATATTTTATAATAGGCACCATAATTAAATCATATTGTAACTGTACATATATTAATTGTCTTTGTAAATAGTAGGTACTTGCTATTATTAAAATGTCAACCTTTACGATAATCATATGGATCGTACCCACCAAATGATATTTATGTTACGGAATTCTATAAATAATGATGAGCTATTTAAATTGTATTTCAATAATATTTTTTGCCAAAATATTACGTTTCACGGATATCCAATGGTTATCGATTAATGTCCGTTTTGTTTGTAATGGTTCATTATAATTTTTTTGTTTTATTTATAATCGTGTTGTTTTGATATTTAAATTATTTGAAGTAGTACGTAATAAAAGACACAGAGAGCACGTTTTAACCCAAAATATGTTTTACGGAAACAAAACATCACTGAGTTTAAGAATAAAGTTCTTTCCTAATAGACATAATATTAAAATCAATGAATATTTGTACTTAAAGCAAAATATACTCTATTTTATAAGTTCTGAAAGTCGTAATTCGTATGTTTGCAAGTCAAGCCTTCTGCAAAAAATAAATGTGACACAGTGCACTCTAAACTAGTAAGCCAACCCCATACTGCAACTGGTTACATGCTCGTTAACACATCACCTTCGAACAATGTCACAGTAACTACAAGTTTCACATAAAAACATGTTTTGTAAGGAAAATAATGAAATAGATAAGAGGCTCTTTACTTGTGTATGGAAACGAGGTTCAATATTTAACTTACCTATTTATTTCAAGGAGCGGAAGTAATGAATGATAATGTTTGACAGTTTGCGCGTTTCTCGGAAACGTCTGGACCTGTTTGAGTGCGATTTCTTGCTAATGAATTTGTGACACATACCTATATTAACTATTTGGTCATAACAAGGTCACAATGCAGATTTAGATTTTACGATATTGAATATTTTTTTTCCGTGAAGATTTTTAGAAATATTCTCAATTATACGCCGTTGCTGTAACTGATGTATAAAATTCTTACATGGCAGAATAAAACTCAGACTTAAATAAACTAAAAAAAACTCTTTTAAAAATCCTCTGTTTATAATTTTGTCAACCGTCAATTTCATTAACTATCTTGTCAATGTCAGCAAACATGACAGAATCCTGTACCAAATTATTGTGAAACTTTACTTAAATTTATTGTATCAGTATTCTATCGAAGACACAACAACAGGTATGTTGTTTTTTTTTTTATTTTTACAACGATAACGTAAACAAGATCATTCTGGAAGGAGCTCAATCTTTGTCATGACCTAGTGGACCTTTCCATCATTAAATCGTCTATTCTATTTCTATTGCAAAGCCCATTACAATAAATTAGGTATATAACGGTTAGTCTACAAGTTTGCTGGGAATTATATGCAAGATCTTACTCTTAAAAGAAATTATGTACACAAGACACTTAAAAACTACAAAATAATTGTGATAGCTATTTCGAACCTCTGAAGACTAAGACTAACTAAATTGGCAAAGCTATTTGTACATATCTATTTACTATTACAACTACCTACGTTTCTATGGCATGTTGTCGTAATAATTAATCCCGGATTGGTTGATACATAAGATGCAAAAATTAAATTTTTTTATCATTGCATGCACTAAATACAATGCCTGGCTCTCTATATAATTTCAATAGTACTTCATAGTAAAACTAATTAATTCTATCGCCTTGACAAGTTTGACTGGGGTTACTGATCGCTGTAATAATGTTTATAAACACGAACAGTAATTATTAATTAACAAATATGATAGTATCTCCGACTGATTTACTTGAAACTCTGATATTCTCACATAAATATCGATAATTAAACAAATTAAGTACCTACTGAGAATTATTTGAATTGAAACAATGTAATGAGACTGAAAATAAATGTAATTATAATCAAACTACACGCGAAAATTTTACAGTTGGTCAAAGTTAGGTATTAACTTCAGTGATTATTATTAACCGACTTCTAAAAAGGAGGAGGTGCTCAGTTTAACCTGTATGTATGTATGTTTATGCGAGATTACCTCGCAATTGGCAGAACCGATTTTGATGTGGTTTAGAAAAAAGTTATTGTTACACTAAGAAGGTTTTAGTATATTGATAAACCGACCTCCATATAAAAAGGGGTTTTTGTAAACGTAGTTTTATAAAAGAATTATTTATTAATTAGTTTAAATAAATATTAATTGTTCTGTAAAAGATGTGCAAAGTACCTATATCAAGCTTTTTATAAGGCAAAAGACTTGCGCAGTTTCGCTCTGTTAAACTATAATATTAGAGACACCAAGACGTATTCAAGTATAATGTACAATATAAACTTTTCTTTATAAATCTCCAATCTCACAATAAATCTCAATAACAATCCATAATAACATGATGCCGGGAGAAATGTTAAGCCCTAGAGCGTGCGTGCACGCATACGCCACACAAAATTGGTTTCCGGTTGCTGCGATAATTTTAGTTGCATACTGAATATTTATTTTATATTTTGGTAGGTATTTGTAATGAAATTTAAAGTTCTATGATGATATAAATATTGGTCAACAGTAACCACAATTACTATAATGTGTAGAAAAGTCGTTAAAATAATAACCAACGGTTTAAGAATTCGCTACAATTTTTTTCTAGTTAGCTACGCAAAATTAAAATTCCTTACACATACAACAGCCACATACGTATAGGTATATTTTTATTCATTTTAAACCAAAGGATTCTATTTGATATTCAAATGAAACCTCAAGGTTTTTAATATAATGTTTCTAGAAATTCACACTATTTCTACTCTCGTGTGCCACCAAATAGGTACGAAACCGCATTCCTAATAATTTCGGCCGTAACATTGAATTTACATTAAAATACCAGTATTATTAATTTATTTGTCTATAAGTAGTAGTAAAATAAAAAGAAAAAAGGACCAGTCTATCACCCATTATACACGTGCTAGATTATTCTAGGTAGACTAAAAACGGCGATCTTGTATGGACGAATGACCTGCCATTTCGCAACTGTACCTATTGAATCTTAATTATTACGCTTTCGGCTTACACATGTAACTGTTTGACAAGGAACTCGACGAAGCCGAATATCTACATAATAATTAATTTTATGTCTCTTGAAAGTTTTATTATAAACATGTATGTAGAGGTACATATTGAATCTATTTAAAAATTGTTTTTGTGTATAAGATCGCAAATGTAAATTGTATTCTTTATAGAAAACACTACCTATTATAAAATTTCGGGTAAAGTATAAATTTTACATTGTAGATACTTACTTATTTATAATAATTTTAAATTTCTAATATCTATCTATTAAAGAAAATCTAAACAATCCTAACTTATAACTTAAAATAAAATTGATAGCATAATTAATTACAACACACGTTATAATGACAGTAAAGAACCTAAGTGCTGCAGAAAAACACAATTATAATCACTAACATCCACAAAAAGTGTTAGCGATCATCAAAATCAATTTATCTATTGATAATAACAAATATCACGTTTACAGACACGTGGGTAATACACACATACATTTAATGAGTATTACACACAGTGTATGTGTACTTTAGTACACAAACAGTAACTACCTAGATTTACGTAAATGTAATTTCTATAATATTGTATTGTCTTCATTAATATGTAGCTAATTGTAATCTGCAGACGGCATGGCGGCTGTTTCGCCCACGTTTGATGATATAAGTCACATCTAGTACTTGCATGCATAGACACTTCTAGCACTGAAGCTTCGTTTCAGGACTGAAGCTGTGCGAAATCTTCTTTAAGATAATATAGGATTTCTTTTAATAATTAATACTAAGGGGTAAATGTATAATGTAGGTACATATTTCTATACGTTACATGAAACTTTTAATTTTAACACAATGTATATGTATTTTTACGGCAAGTTGTTTAGCACTTATTAAAAATGTAATCCATTTAAATTGTACATTAAGAAAATGATGAAATAATATAATATTGTTTAAAGTAAGATCTAATCTTGAACTCTAAGGTGAAAATTGAAAATCAATCGTCCGATTTCAATTTTCCGGATAAAATTCCTTGATTTTCATTTACGAGAACCAAGAAATGGCTTGCAATTTACGACAGAAATATAGAAAAACTTACCACTGCGGCTAATATCGTAAAGCGTAGCATTTTCTTTCGTTCAACGTTCACAATAAACTTGGCGCTCACACTATTCAAATATACTAATATACAACCGTCAGATGCGTCTGCGCATCTCCTATATACCGTCGCAGCCTCCTCTGACGTCATGCCCCCGCCCCCGCCCCGCCGAACTTGTTCCAAGACTCATCTTCGCGACATTTGACCTTCGTTTCACTTACATCGACGTTTTTATATGAAAAATGTAGTTATTTGTATGTTTTGAAGGCAGCGATGTATGACGCGCCACCTAAACTAGTTTTGCTAGGCGGCTACGTCTGATTTTTTTACAAATAACTTTTTGTCTAGTTAGTGTCTTGTGTTTAACTTTACAAATATTGTAACTAAGTATTATGGATCATTGGCCCGTCTTAAAGAAACCGCATTTTAATATGTCATGGAGATATCTCCTAAACACTGATGTAAATAATAAATCTTAATGATTATTTTAGCTTGGGTAAAAAGCTGCTTTGCAGTACTCGGAATTAAGATATCAAAAAGCAATCGTATAATGAGGCTGTAGTAGGATTTAGTGTGACTCATTTTATATCCCCGATCCCGGGAATACCTACAATCGTGTTTTAAACCAAGTTAGAGGAAAAAATTAAGTGAATACATAAGAATAGAACAACAAATATCACGATTCTGGCCTTATTATAATTTCCTTTTCTGTTTTCTTTTAGCATATTTACTACACGGATCAGCTCTTAAACTTGTTACCTCTAGATATTACATTTATAGACACTTCTATCATCCTCAGCTTGTTGCGATTTTCAATTCGACATCTAGACCTCAGCAATAGCATACCATTGAAGTGAATCCTCAGTTCTTCATATCCAACCGCTACCGAGTTTCTTACATAATATCATAATAGGAATATGCTATATAAGGACACACAGACATACTACAAACACGTGCGACATATTTAGGCAATGATAAAAACACAAGGTTTTCTGAAAAACCGTTTTTCATGTTAATTAAGTCTATATGCAGAAGTAGTGTTACAAATATAACTATTCTATTTTTATCTTTTCGCATCTATGAATGGAGTTTGTTTAAAAAATTCGCTACCTATCTCTATCTACGTACGATTGTCTATTTATATTATTAGTACCTACCTATATTCACTTGTATTTATGTAGGAAGTAGGTCGCTTCCAACCAGCCTATCTGGAAGCCATTGGAGGAGGCCTATGTTCAGCAGTGGTCGTCCTGTGGCTGACATGATAATAATCCTGCAACTTCACTAACGTTATTTCTTATGGACAAACTATATTAACGTCTATTAGGCTGCTTCTGAATAAGAGTCCCAATGTGACTTACATTGAGAAGCTGTTCTCAAAAGGTTCACGTGTACAATTCTTATTTTCTAATCAATTTAGTTTGCCTCACGATATGATTTTTACAGAAAAAAAGAGTACCCAACTCAAATACTTTCGAATAGTAATGTCAAAGTTAAAATCATTTATTTCAATTAGACCAGAAAAGCACATTTGAACGTCAACAAAATGCTTTTAATATGACTGATATTATCGTGGACGATCCTGTTAGGATATAAATTCATCAATATTAAGAGATGACACATGAATGATTTTTTTATGGTATAAGCCTAGTAAACGAGCGGACGAATCACCCGATGCAATAAGCAATCGGCGTCGCCCATGGACACCCGGAACACTAGAGGCGTTACAAGTGCGGTACCGGCCTTTTGGGGATTAGGAATTGAGGAATTACCCTCACGAAGTCAAAGTCAAAGTCAAAGCATTTATTTCAATTAAACCGTATTTTGGTACTTTTCAAACGTCAACAAACACAAAATAAATAATAGTCTGTCAGTCAGTCCGTCAGTGAACTAAGTGAAGCTAGGTGCTCATTCCAAAATGTATATTCGAATGGAGAATAATGAGCAAGAAACTCCATTTTTTACTCTACGATTTGATATAAGATATCTATGACTATACGATATAGACTAACTGAAAATTTGTTCACTATTATATATTTCTACTACATTTGAGAAGGTACCTCTAGGTACTCTACAAAGAGGAAAATATTTAGTTGTTTTAAAAGCTCAATAATTTTCATACGATACAAACGACAAGATAACCTATAAAAACCGGGTGTAAAAATTGCATTTATTTTTCTTTTTTTTTAGGGTAGCAATTAATATAACTACAAAAATTCCCTTACCAAGTTCCGCGTCTGAATATAAAAACTTGATGTCATAATTTATAATTAACATTATCGTGTTTTTGTATTATAAATCAGGCATCAGCCATTATTGTGACTCATCGCTTGAGGAAGGCGTTATCGTCCTGTGATGATACCGAGGGACAGTGGTTCTGAAGTATCTTGTATACTTATAGAAAAAATAATTAGTAAATAAGGATACTAGTAGCTAATTTCTTGCTCGTTCTTCTCCATAGGAATCTACACCTTGGAATGAACAAATAGCTTCACTTTTAATTTTATTGTTGGCGTTCAAAAGTGCGTTTCTGGTCTAATTGAAATAAATAATTTTGACTTTGACTAAAATTTAGCTAAAACTAAATCGGGGAATATCGTCCAATGCCTTCTCCCGCCTGGGTGAGGCGGGAGGGAGTGTCAGACTCTGAAAACCACCCCATTCGTAGGAACGGTTTAAGGGACTATAGACAGGAGTAGTCCTGCCCCGGTAACCTGTTAAATTCTTCGCGGCAACTTAATCCCTTAGAACTAAATAGGAAAATGTCCCTAAACATAGGAATATATCTCTTTTTGTCAGTCTTAAGGACTCTATTATGTATTGGATGTCACTGTGGCTGTCTTGTCAGTTTAAATTGTTTTTAGACGTATAGTGCTTTGTTAAAAAATAACATCATGCATAAGTGTACGTACATAATTAGCCATCAGGTACCTAACTGTTTGTCATCGGAGAACCTAACGGGTTACCAGGGCTCCGGCTCGCCGTGCAGGAGAAAGAACGGGGTGGTTTTTAGTCAGTAAGAGTCTGACACTCCCTCCCGCCTCACTCAGGCGGGAGAAGCCATTCGATGATTTCCCCCTTAAAAAAAAACTGTTTGTCATACCGCTTAAAATTTTATTGTTGGTTCTGCCAATATTTGTACTTGAGTATTATACATTAAGTTATTGATAATGAAACTTAAAACTGATCAGCTCTACGAACATCTAAAACTCGGAACCAAATCTTCATAATACCTTTTATAAACTCATAATCCGCTAATACCATTGTCCTTTACTTATTTTTTTTTAATAAAACCCTTTACAATGTTTATGTTACAAGTATTTTTAATGAGAATTCAAGTCGTTAATAAAGAGGTTTTATGTATTATATTTCAATTATACACACATTATTGAATTATTGTGTAATAAATCTTTATTGAGGAGGTATGTATATTGATTATTGTAATTTACATATAAATGTCTATATATAAAGGTGTCTATTAGTGTGTCGACTATTGGTATGGCCTAAATAGGTTTCCTAAAATTGTATTTTAATATTTTCTTTTTTAATCAATTTCAGGCTACTTATAGTATTTTTATAGCTACTTAGTTATAATAAATGCAAAACGACTAGCTAATTTAAATTGAAACAATGTGTAAATAATAAATTAATTACGATTAAACACAGCTTTTTTTAAACATAGGTAAACGTAAATTTTTGTATAGAGGTACAAAAACATGTCTAAACATAAACGTATATACTTCACCACAAATCATATTCATGAGGCTAATGAAATTTAATAAATAGACGAAACGTACATTACAGTCACGTAATATTGATTAAATTATAAATAAAAATCATCCCTAGCTACAAAGTTTGAGAAGCTACATAGGTACATAATATCCGGGTACTCAAAACACGATTTTATGTAAAACTGTCGTCGCCGACTTTTTTTAAAGGGACGCCATAAGTGCCTACGTATGTACTGCGACATTCTGGTGTTAATAAGGTAAAAATGATAATTTTAAACATCGTACCTTCGTAACTATAATTTTATTGTCTTGTGACTTTTTTATTAATTGTAAGTACCTGTGTTCAATATCCTTAGTAGGTACTTACCTATGATTATTTTTATTGTTCTACATGGAGTTTGTTTTCATGTACATACATGTGTCCTAAGTATTTAGAATACTATTATATTAAAGCATAAAGACTTAATTGTTGGTTTATTGAATGTACTTGTCGCATCTTTTCGCCATCGACCCTCACGACAACATATTCATCCCCATCATATATATGGTTGGCAGGCCACAACTGTGCGCTTCTCTCGTAGCTTTCTGCCTCGCACAGCAAAACTGTGGAATGATCTGTCATTGGCGGTATTTCCGAACCGATACAACCTTCAAACCTTCAAGAAAAGAGCGTACTCCTTTTTAAAAGGCCCGCAACGCACCCGTGTCTCCTCTGGTGTTGTGGGTGTCCATGGGCGGAACTGATCGCTTACCATCAGGTGATCCGTCTGCTCGTTTGCCTCCAATTCATAAAAAAATTTGAATGGGCTCCGAAAATGCTGGACATAATTACAAAAAATAAATTGTATATGTATGTGTGTGTTCATTTCATAATCATCATCACCAACAGCCTATAAGTTGCGACTCCTTACCGCTAAAGACCACTTCTAAACGCAGGGAGAAGGTTCAAAGCTATCTTCATTTAATACATTAAAAGTATTATGTGTCTATTCATTCGAATTCTAAAACTTCCTTCTTTTCTGAAACTATAAAAATTGATCACACAAATCTAGATGTTGGTCCTTCGATCCATCTAAATTAAACCAATAAGGAGCTAACATAATAAATAAAGAATTCAAGTTCATATTTATAACACAAAAAACAATGAATTTAAATAACTATTATATAACTATATCGAATGACAATTCTGTGATAAATTGATCGCAAGGTTCATTGCCCTCTGTCTTTTGTCACTAAAATAATGGCGGACCTCCTGCTGTAACGATACATCTATTTTACTAGACTAATATAATAATCTGACTGCCTCGTTTGCCAAGTGGACGCAAATGCGACTACCGGCCCAGAGGTCTCGGGTTTGATTTCCGGGTCCGGATTTTAAAACAACATTCTCAGTAAGTAGTAGCAGCACGTAGTCTGGAA